GGATAACGGGGCATTTTTTAGGTACCCATCCCCTATTGACCAGGACCATCATCTGTTGTCTGATAGATATGAATACAACAAACATTTTGATATGACTTTTATCCCGGTCAAAAGGGGATAAGTCACATCTTATCAAAAAAGATACATGTCTCTCTTTAAAATATAATTATTCCATACACATGCATATATCGGATAGCGGGGACATTTTGTAGGTACCCATCCCCTATTGACCGGGACCATCATCTAGTGTCTGATAGATATGAATACAAGAAACATTTTGATATGACTTTTATCCCAGTCAAAAGGGGATAAGTGACATATCTTATTTAAAAAGATACATGTCTCTCTTTAAGAAATAATTATTCCATACACATGCATATATCGGATAACGGGGCCTTTTTTAGGTACCCATCCCCTATTGACCAGGAACAACATCTGTTGTCTGATAGATATGAATACAACAAACATTTTGATATGACTTTTATCCCGGTCAAAAGGGGATAAGTCACATATCATCAATAAAGATACCGGTCTGTTTTTAAGAAATAATTATTCCATACACATGCACATATCGGATAAAGGGCCTTTTTTAGGTACCCATCCCCTATTGACCAGGAACAACATCTGTTGTCTGATATATATGAATACAACAAACATTTTGATATGACTTTCATCCCGGTCAAAAGGGGATAAGTCACATCTTATCAAAAAGATACATGTCTCTCTTTAAAATATAATTATTCCATACACATGCATATATCGGATAACGGGGCCTTTTTTTAGGTACCCATCCCCTATTGACCAGGACCATCATCTGTTGTCTGATAGATATGAATACAACAAACATTTTGATATGACTTTTATCCCGGTCAAAAGGGGATAAGTCACATATCATCAATAAAGATACCGGTCTGTTTTTAAGAAATAATTATTCCATACACATGCACATATCGGATAAAGGGCCTTTTTTAGGTACCCATCCCCTATTGATCGGGACCAGCCTCTGTTGTCTGATAGATATGAAAATAAGAAACATATTTATATGACTTTTATCCCGGTCAAAAGGGGATAAGTTACATATCTTATCAAAAAAGATACATGTCTCTCTTTAAAATATAATTATTCCATAACATGCATATATCGGATTATATGGGCCTGTTTTAGGTACCCATCCCCTATTGACCGGGACCAGCCTCTGTTGTCTAATTGATGTGCATATAGCAAACGATTTGAAATGAATTATAATAGGGAATTAATAGGGAATAACTTACATGTCTTTTAATTTAAATCAACATTGTTTATTCTGTCTTTAAATACTTTGTTAAATTGTACACTTGGTTTTTCACTAATATATTTATATTTTTTTAAACTGAAGCACCCTCTAAACCAAAACGTTTTTTTTAGGTTTTAGGTTTTAAAAAATATCCGGGGGGGGGGGCTCTGCCTCCTGAACACCTCTGTACCCCACCCGTAAACTGCACCCTGATTGTACGTAACTATACTTACCACGTCGCTCAATATGCGCGCCAAAATAAACATGAAAAAACATATTATGCAGTAGATTCAATATTTTAACCTGATAAATAGCTTCAGAGTTCTGATAATTCATTGTCATGTACGCAAAAGATTAACCAATTCACAGTCATACTTATTAAACTGCAAATTGAGAGTGCTAAAACAATGGGTTGACCCTATCCATTAAAAAAAAAAACATTGAAAACATTGTTCATTGAGAACATAATTATAGAATACACAGTATACATTGAACTTTAAACACATTATTAAAAAGAGAAGCAAAGAGAAGAGTAAGAAATGAAAGATATAGATAATGAACATGACATGGGAAATTGCAAAAGAACCCAGTAAAGGTTCTGTCGAGGCAATCCCCAGCCTAATAAAATACCTACATTTTTACTGATAAAGAACTAAAAATTCATAGTGACATTATGGCAAAGAAGAGTTTAAAAGGTATAACAGTTATAACAGTTGGGATGGATTAATTATTTTGTAGAGTTTGTGAATAAAAAAAGTTAAGTTTTGATCTAAAAGAATTAAGAAACGAAATTGTTTGAACATAATGAGGAAGAGAGTTCCATTTTGACGGTCCTTTTGATTTGAAAGAAAAAGATGATATTTTTATATTTTTCGACATAGTAATTTTCTGGATTTCTGGTATTATAAGTATGCATTTCTGTTTTACATTTAATAATAGAGGCAAGATTATATGGTAATTTGTTATGTTTATGTTTAAAGACCATTAATGAGATACAGTAGTCATACAATTGATATATTGTGAGAAGATTAAGTTTTTTGAATAGTGGTTGTAAAGGAGCAGTATAGTGAGACATTGAACATATTCTTACAATTATTTTTTTGCAATTTCAATAATCTAGGAGCCTGCTGGGATATGTATTGGCCCATACAACTATATTTTGTTTAGATATAGTAGATATATGTTCGACCCATGATAAATGTTCATCGATAACAACTCCTAAGAAATTTGTAGATTGGACACGTTTCATAAATACATTATTCATACTAATATTAAGATTGGTAAATAAATTTTCTGTAATTGTATTTTTGCTTATGATGAAAGTATACAAAGCTAGATTTGGAAGTGTTAAGAGATAACTTATAACAATTAAACCACTGTGAAACATGGCATAACTCCGCATTAAGAAATTGACATAAATCATAAATTTTTTAAAGGATATTTGTGTAATCAGCAAAAAGAATGAATTTTACACTAGGAAAGGATCTGATATGTCGGAAATCAATGTACCACAGGGGAAAAACATAATTGTCAGCGAAATATAAAAGCCACCAAACTCAAATTATGCTGATTGTATTGATGCATTACAATCTATGTTAACATCACCGCCCTTTAATGATAAACATTATATGATGATGGCGATTTTAATCTTAACCTATTTATTTATAATGACAAACTATATGTCGAGATTTCTTGGATATCATGACTTCAAAACCACTTTCCCAAGTACATGTATAACTAAACCAACACAAATTTCTGATAATGCATCGACACTTTAATATTGATAACGTGTTCTCTAATATTTCCAATTGTATGGATCGAGGCATTATAGTTTCCGACATATCATATCCTTTCCTAGTGTTTACATGGGGGGGGGGGGCACTCGTTTTTCCTAAAGTTCATTTTTCCGAAGGTTCGTTTTTCCGAAGGTTCATATTTCCGAATCATAAATGTCCCATGCCTGGGGGTTCATAATTCCCGAAATGAAAAAGGGTTCGTAATTCCGAACATTTTGTTGCATTATTTCGAAGGTTCGACCTGACTGCTAAGAAAGCATTAATGCTTGTAAGTAAGCAACCAGACGGCCGACGGCTTTAGGTCCTCTCCGAGGGACATGGTAATGAGGATTAATGCCTTACCAAAGGGCACTAGCGCATCACCTTGGTTTCGAATCCGGATTACGAGACCACTGTCCTACTGAATGAGCTATCGCGCCTCCTTCTATATTTCGAAGGTTCTTTATTCCGAAGGTTCTTTATTCCGAAGGTTCATTTATCCGAAGGTTCATATTTCCGAAAATGAAAAAGGGTTCATAATTCCGAAAATTAAATCGGGTTCATAATTCCGAAAGTGAAAAAGGGTTCGTAATTCCGAAAATGAAATAGGGTTCGTATTTCCGAAAATGGAAAATGGTTCATAATTCCGAAAATGAAATAAGGTTCGTAATTCTGAAAATGAATAGGATTCGTAATTCCGAAAATGGAAAAGGGTACCTGAACAAGAAGCCGAGACAGCCCCTCTCCCCATAAGAGATCCACAAGGACTGGAGAGAGAGAGAGGAAGAGAGAGAGAGAGAGAGCTAGAGAGACAGATCAGAGGAAGACAGAGACAAAGACAGGGAGAAACATTAGAAGAAAACAAAAGACAATAGGACAATATAAAGGACAAATGAAAAAGAAAAGGAAAGAAAGGAAGGAAGGAAGAGAGGTAAATTAGAAAGAGGGGATAAGATTGAAAACGGTGATAGAGAGTGAAAGATAGAAGAGGGGGGTATCATGATTGATTTATAAGGTGATAAGTTGAGGTCATCTTACCGATCTCGTTTTATTTTCTGATTTATTTATTCATTTGTTCATTTGTTTGCTTGTTGCTTTTTATTTGGTATTTGTCATTGGCTCCCCCTCCGCCCTTTTTTCTTTCCCTTTCTCTCCTCTTTCCCTTTCCCTTCCTTCAATTTCTTTCTCTCTCTCTCTCCTCTCTCGCTCCCTCTATATATATAAAACAATGCCTAATTGGTGACCATTGGTCCCTCATGATCCTCTCTTTCTTATGTTAATTGAGAGCTGAGTTGATGAGATAGCCACCTGTCCAGGTCCTTGCAGGGTAATCAATCCCTCTTATAAACTAGTACAGATAAGCTTTAAAGGAAAATGTGCATTTGTTGAAAGAAAATGGGCACCGATCAGATTTTAAAGGGGCATTTATCGGAGGTGAAGGGGGCACTTATCTGAAGTGAAAAGGAGTAACTTCTCTTACCTGAAAAGAGTCATTTACCAGAGATGAAAAGGGGCATTTATGAGAAGGGGAAGGGCTCCTTTTTAATGGGGGCACTTTTCATTGGGAAACTGGTCGCTTATTAGAAAGTAATATGGAATCAGAAGTATTGATGGGTACAACTATAAGGTGACACCAATGTGAACATCAGAGACATAGTAATGCATTTGGATTACTTTTCACTGGTTTCTCACAAATAATACATTGATACTTTATCGGCATCGTTATTCTATAGCATAAGTCTCTTACGTGATCGCATTTTCAATTCTTCCTATCCAAGGCGTTCGATGTCGCTCATGCCTCCGATCAGGATTATTCACTTTTCCTCACCATTTTCAGTCTGTGCAAATATTCGCCCGTCACGAGACCATGTCCACGAGATCGCTTCACACTTACAAGCTAGTATATCAATGATTGGCGACCCATCTTAGGTCTTCGTTGATGAAGATTTTACTCCCTTTTGACGCTATCGAAAGCATTTTTTATTGAAATCAATGTACCACAGGGGAAAAACATAACTGTCGGCGAAATCTAAAAGCCCACAAACTCAAATCATACTGAGTTTATTGATACATTACAATCCATATTAACATAACCGTCCTTCAATGAAAAACATACATGATAATGGGCGATTATGATTTCAACCTATTCAATCATATGGAAAAACCATACAGTCGAGATTTCTTGGATATCTTGACTTCAAAATCACTTTTCCCAAGTATAACAAAAGTATAACAAAACCAACTTAAACTTCTGATAATGCATCAACACTTGTTGATAATGTGTTCTCCAATATTTCCTATAGGAACGAGGCATTATAGTTTCTTACATATCAGATCACTTCCCAGTGTTTACAAAGTCATGTACCCCATATTTCTAACATAGTCAAGCCTGATATTCAGAATAACATATTGGGTTCACGTGATATGTCAGAAGATAATTTAGCTATAGACTCAAAGCAAGTCTGATAATCACTGACCGGTCTGTAATTCTTGACAATAATGATGCTAATGATGGTTGTAACAAGCTAGTTTATATAATTATGACTTTATGTGATATCTATATTCCATTGAAATCACCTTCCAAGTCGAGTTATAAAAAAGTACCTGAATCCTCCTGAATCACTAAGTCTATACTTAGATCGATTAACCGGAAAAATAGTATTTTACAAATATAAATAAACAAAAACACATGAATCTAAACTAAAAAATACTTCCAATTGTAATACCTTGACATCTGTAATACATAGGGCAAAACAGAATTATTACTCTACCCAATTCACCACACATAAAAAGACATAAATTCAACCTGGAACATTATCAATAATGTTCTCAGAAAAGGTGAAAAGAAACAATTCGAATTAAGTAAGATCGTCTACAACGGAACCGAAATAAAAGACCCTCTCGGCAAAGCAGAGGCATTCAACTTTTCGGTGTGAATTTAGGGCCAGGCCTTGCCAGTAACATCCCTGCTACAAATAACTGTTTCCACTCGTTCCTAAGAAATTCAAATCCTCAATCATTATTTGTTGTACCTGTACATGAAACAGAGATTATTGATATCGTGAATAACTTAAATGTAAACAAAGGTTCTGGTTATGTTATTTCAAATTATCTCCTCAAAACTAATATCCATGAAATAGTCTCTCCGTTGACATTTGTATTTGATATGTCTTTAGTAGATGGCATAGTACGAAGCAAAATGAACATTGCTAAGGTAATACCAGTCTTGGACATGTCACTCGGGGGACTTGAAACTCTCTCACTGATGAGGGGTTGCCACCCCCACCCCATCGACGCCTCTGGCCCTAAGTAAGTCCAGTCAGACAATCAGAGCACGATACGCCTTCGGCGCTAAAGTGGGATAAGAGGGAGGTAAAGGAAAGTAGGATATCAAAATAATCATTGAAAATAATTAGGATGATGATGGGAATGTAATGAACGAACATGACAATGCAGGCGAGGAAGATAAAAGGCTACACGGTACCGTGTTTGGGCTACCATTTGGCAAAGCGAATAAAATCCGAGCGATTCTGTCAACAAACACCTTCTATAATATTGAATAGTCAAATAGCTGAAGCTGGTCACGAAAACAACCAAGATGCCCATTGAAGTAAGGTTCCTGTGTTAATTAGGAAAAAGGAGTTTTGTTTTGATATCAAGCTCTAGTATAAACGAACCATTCTTTCTTTTATCACGAACTATGTTTCAAATATGCCCCATCCTCCCAGAACAATGCAATTCATCAGTGTTTTCTTTAGTCTTAAATTATTGTCCCGTAATATTGTGCATAAACAGATTAAGTGTGAGTGATATTTCAATCCCAGTACAAGGCTTTAACGATGGATTTACCTGACCTGTATACCAATAAAGTCCTTTATCAGGTAAGTATAGCCACACATCTATTTTTTTAGAGCACTGGGCTTATACAAACTGCTGTCGAAAGATTAGTTTTATTTTTTTTTGGCTCACGCTTTTGACTTCCGGACTATCATGCAAGTATCAACGATTTTAAGATCATAAATTGTTTTTGCTCTGTTAAATGATAATCATTTCATGTCACGGTTACATTGCAGTCGGAATTATTACCTATCTCCAAGTGACGTAGAATGGTCGTTTTTGTAATTTTTTAGAAACATAATTTTCTTAAATCTAAAATGATTGTTATCTAGATGATAATTGATAACAATATTTTACAATGTACGGTGCCGAATCAAACCTGCTGCTACATCGCAACTTACCGCTTGACTTAGATTCGCAAGGAGAGGCCCGGAGGTAGGATACAAAGAACGAATACGATGAAATTTGTCACGGAACAGTACGTATAGGATGCATTCGTAAAGAATATCTTATTAAATTCGGGAACATGTCCCATCAAAAACATATCATACCTCACTCCATTCATCGCGTTCATTATTGCCGTCATGATGTAACATCGTCCAGCAGGTACACAAGATACCCTATTGTTTCCCCTCTTGCTGGCAATGGAGATGCTGTCTCCATTACGTCACCAGTCAGCCCATCATAGCAATACCAACGACCTGCCTCTTTGAAGATGCATGTGAAGTGGTCTGCTTTGTGAATCGTCATACCCTGTAACGTGTACCTGTAATTTATGTTTATAATTTCAGAAAAGGAATGAAGTAACAGAGAAAATAAATGGTCAATACATCCTTAACGCAGAGGTCTAATACAGCGCGGTTTACATTATGAGTCTTGAAATCTGCTTTAAATTTACATGTAATGTGATAGACGGTAGAAAAAGCATGTAATCACATGTTCATTGAATATCACAACAATAGTTCATACTGTACTCTAAAATAAACATGTAATCAATATTCCTTCTTCATGGACATTTAGCTGAATACATTAACAATTGCTAACAAATGCTAAGTAGGCTATTATACCAAGCTGAAAATCATAACTTCCTCCAACCTATTTGTGGGTATGATTTTGAGCTTGCTATAATCAGCCAATATTGCTGCTAAAATAACTTATGTTTTGAGGGACAACAATCATGTTTTAGTCTCGAAATGGCTAGTGGCATAATTTTTATGTGCTGTTGTAAAATACAAAATATAGCAAATGACTTCTATAATCCATTGTTTTAACGACAATACCTTGCGGTTCCTAATGAAACGTTGTGCTGAAACATAAGGGTAACTCGGGCTGCACCCTTCGTTCTGGATTGATAGATGATAGGACTAAAGCACAGGATTGGTGGACATATGAAGTGGTCGAATTGTCGCTCTTCCCACTTTCTCTCACCCGAACAGCGCCTGTAAATTGATATCATCATTAATATTTGATATTAAGACATGATCATACATTTTCGTTCTCACAAAATAAAACAAAATATTCCAATGTCCTTGTCATTCAAATGGAATACAGTTTCAACATACAATATATTAGACTGGTGGAAATTATTGAATGATCGTTCTTAAAATATTACAACTAACTCAAATCACTATTTTACCTTCAAAGGTATTTTCACACAGGAAATTTTGCTAATCGTTTTGAAATTTCCGTTAGTGTACATGCAGAGCAGAATGTGTAGGCTGTAATTTTTAGATAATATCAAATATGTGCTTAAAAATTGACATAGGCCTACTTGCAGCCTGTATACCAAATACGCCAGTTTGTAGGAACAAAAGTTGCAACGTACAGTGTTATATATAAGAGGTATGACCAAACTATTTAATAGCGAACACCTTTGTCAAATAGTTTTTTTTTAATTTTTTCAATTTTTGTAATGTGCAAAAGTCCTGATGAGTTTATACTAGTACTCGACGTAAATTCAATCAATGATTAACGTACTCTCCTGTGGCAAGTGGTATGTGGCATTGGTGACACGGCGGTGGGGCAATCCAGCAGTTTAGCGCATCTTGCACCGTGCCTCTCTTACCGTCATTTGTAGACCTGTACATGTTTTTAAAATATAGTTTTAGTTCTATAATACTTTAGATAAATTGTCAAATTATATTCCAGTATTTATTTTTCCTTTTTGCGTGGTGAAATAATCTACAAATGCAATCAATATGTTAATCGATCCCCCGGAAATGATTTCTTTAACATGAAGGCAGTGTTAAAAAAAAAATCTTCTATTGTTATCATTATTATTTGTTGTTGTTGAGGGGGGTGAAATAATGACGATTTACATTGTAAGTATTCATCACAAAATTCCTAGAATCATTATATAATGTTTTCATACAGTGTTTGTTCTTTCTCTAATGGAGAAATTTTGTGATATCTTTATTATAATGATATTGATAATAGGAGAGTGGTGAGAACCGCTTGTGGTCATTATTTGGCGTGATCAAAATCCCTACCTGTTCATATATCAATTGTGTTACATACCAATCTTGAACTATTGGCTATAACGTTCTATTTATTCCAACTTCAATTTATTTATGCCAGGTACGTTGGTCTTACCCGAGTTCTATGGATATGCTTCTCCTTGTCACGACGGCTTGTCTGCATGTTGGGCTGGAGCACCTCGATGTCTGCGTGTTCGCCTGGAAAACGTCCAGATGTCGTACAAACATGTAGAATTCAGACCCATATGCGTCCCATGTCTGCGGTGTGTACATCTCGAGTTCAAACTGGCAAATTGTATGTAGCCACTCTAGTTTAGCCAGGGTCCACTCTTTCGCGACGCATAGGTCAGCAATATGCAAGATTCTTCTGCTCTTGATGTCAGAACTCTGCATTAGTGTTTCTCGTAGCACGCTTTGCTGCTGGTTAACTTTGGCGAGTATGACCATGATGTTGTCTATTGTACACGTGTTTGCTAGTGTGACATCTTTTCCTTTGTACTGGATTCTCCCTCCCCACCTTGGATAATCTCCGCTCCGCCGCTCTCTTTCTGCTTTACGGCATTTCTTCTCTTTTGCTTTTTTCGCTTTACCTTCCTTTCTGTTAACCTTATTGTCGTCGTGACGCTTCCTTTTGTTCCATTCTTCTTCAGGGTTCGGAATATCTTCTTTTCGTGAAGTTCTAGCACGTTTCGAGGACTTCCTGTTTTTGACGATGGGGATGTCTGCGTTTTCTTTGTGAGGGGGACACTTTTTCTTTTTCTTTGGCTGCAGAATGTCTTCATCACGAGGTGAACGGAAGTACTTTCCCTGCCTTCTAGGAGTGGAAGTATTTCTGCCTTCCGCTTCCACATCGACCTTTCCTTTGCTAGGTCGCAACTGTGTCTCCGCAACTCGACCCCGTACGTTGCAGTACGCAAATCTTATGAACTTTCCAGGAGTCAGCCTGGTCCTTCCCCCGGGAACGGCGTCCTTTTTCACAACACCAAACCAGTTCTCCACAAGAGAGTTTGTATCTCTATTGGGAACGGGTGGGTCGAACAGGATCAACTTTTTTGCTGGAACATATCGGGTCAAGTCGCCGAAAGTGACAGCACTCCACAATGGATACACGTGCATAAACCCATCCAGCAGCATTGCAGTTAACCCAGGTGTGAAGTATTCGTTCCCAACAGCTTCTGATGACTCATGTCGTACTGCATGCTCCTTCTCCTCCTTGAAGGCTCTCCACCAAGGTGAACTCTCGCGTATCGCCTTAAAGCGATTAACGACCGTCTTATCTTTGCATGAAGTTGCCTCTGTACTGGTGCCCTGAAGATCATCGATATCACTAGCGCCCTTGCGTGATATTTTCCTCTTCAGGATAGCCAATGATTCGGCCACTGCCGATGTCGCGAACTTGCTGTCCAGAACTTGACAGAAGTGACGGAATGTCTCCCTTGCCTTGCTGACATCGTGCTCTGTCTGAAGTAGCGCAAACACATGTAGGCAGAACTGCTTTACACCGTGGTCTTTGGTGTGCTCCTTCAGTCGCCTGCTCACATCTTTCAACATGTGGGCCGCACATATATGGGGGTATGTGAAACTTGTTACCTTTCCTTCTGACAGTTCGCCTTGCACAAGCTTCCAGGTTCGGATGAGGTACGTCTTCGTTTCTTCGCTATTGAAGGCATGGAGAACAGATTGAATCAAGGCCCATGAAAAATCAACCTCGACCCTTCTTGGCAAACCAGCCTTCAATTTCTTTCCTTTGGATATTGTATTGACGAACCTGGATAGAAAATGCTTTATTTCAGACGCATGCTGATCGTTGGTAAGCATTTCCGCGACGGGGATGCCAGACCTTCCAGGTATAGGATTTTTCATAACTAGTGCATAGTACAGCACTGCTTTCTTTTGTCCAGGGATCTTTTTTATGATGGACCCTGTAGCATCCAGGTAGAGGACTGGTTGCTGCTTCTTGGCATGTCGGATGTACAAGTCTAGCTGGTCATCGAGATGGAGGTGTACCTTGAATGGGTAGATGCTAAAGTACTGAACGAATCCGCCATCGGTGTATTGACCATTTGGGTGAATATCCTTGTACACCTCCTGCAAGAGTTTTACCTCCTGCAAGATGTCATCGTGGATTTTGTCCTTGTTCCTTCTATCTGCCAATATTCGCCGAAGTACTTCATGGGTAGCGCATGCACTTAAATTACCTGCCTCCTTTTCCTCCTTTGTCATTGATGCTACTGTCCGGTAGTACCACTTCGTGACCCCATCTTTCTCAAGCTCTGTTGCAACTTCCCCTCTTCTCTTTCCTTTGATGTGCCTCTTTTCTCCCGTTTCTTCACCGTGGTCTACGTTGCCCAATCTGTTCACGTCGACCCTTATCTTTTTCTGGCTTGTCGTCGGCTTCTTTCCTATAATGAACTTGTATTTGCAACATGTTTTGAATTTACAAAGACATATTGCCTTCGCATATGGCATATTATGCTTCCGGCTTCTTGGCAGCTTTACATGATTGTATTTGAAGACCGGGACACAACCTCTGTTAACATCTTGAAACTTCCTCGAATACAGTTCCGCCCACTGTCCCTGAAGATTGGACTTTTTCCCCGTGGGCTTGATGCTCTTCCACTCTTCTTGATTTAGACTGAAATGCCATTCATTGTCAGTACTATCGTCATTTTCGTTGTCAGATGTTTGTTTTCGGGGATACGGAAGAGTTGCATCCACACTGGATGCTCCGGGTGAATACTGCAAAGAATCCTCTTCTTGAGTGTCATACAGCTTTTCGCTGTTGGTCATCGAACAGGGTGGTGATGGGATAGGTGAAGGAGGGTGAACGATTTCATGTGCGTCCCTATCGTGTGGTGAATTAGCTCTGAAACATGCATCATTTCTGTCGGATCGTTGACCTTTATTTCCACTTTGTTTGGTATTAGTTGATTGGGTATTTAAGGTTACAGGGCACTCCGTGGTGCGGTCTTGGTTTTCTATACGATGCTCTTCCTGGATGTTTGTAACCTTGTCCCGCAGATTATTGGTGTTGAACCGCCATTGGTTGTAGAGCCACTTTCTGTTTATGAGGGTGTTCTTTATCTTCATTGCTTTTGCAATATGCGACCATATTCCAGTCACTATTCTATACCCTTCTTCGTGAAGACGATGGAAGTTTGGCCACGAAGCTAGAACGTTAGCTAGAAGATCATGGTTGATGCGACCAGGAACTTTCATCTTGAGCTTGGGATAGAACCTTTAAATAGACAAACAAAAGTATATCGAAAATACCGAAAATTGTGGCAATTGTCATTTAAATAATTTGTTATGTTTCATCAATAGATCATTGGGTGTATTAATATGTTTTTAAAGAATATCAGTTCGAAGTAACAAAAAAATACATGATAATAATGTAAATGGTAATGTCATTTAATTGCTCCATTAACTTTATCAGGATCAGCCGAAAGCAATTGAAGCTTTCACATACCCTTTTTATTTTATTTTGGCTTAAGGTAACAGAAGTATAAAACTTGAATTTGTTCTAATTTCTCCCAAATGATGGAGATATTTGTGATTGTATTGAATGACGCTTCTCAACGCTTTTCGATTAATTAAAACTTAAAGGGCACAAGGAGATATAATTTACAATCAATTTCACTTTCGAAATTAGATAATTCGTGTTTTTTATTATGAAACTTCTTATACATTTAATCTTATAGTGAAAATTGGTATAACAGTTGAAGTTTCAAATGTCACATTGGATAAACCGTATCAATTAAGTGATCACTGTAATAATAATAATAATGATAAATGGAAAACATGACAACGAAAATTGACAACATTTACATTTAAATCATCGTTATGAACTTATGATAACATTACTTCTTTGGAAAAAGGTTGTTGCGATCAAGAAATGGCTGGATTTAACAATTAAGGTAGACATGGTTTAAAAAAAAAAGAATAAAAGATTATTTCCCAATAATTTGGAGGATTCCTCTCCATTACAAGAATCCGCTACGATATTGTTAAGTGACATTTGTTTCTAACCTATCAGTTCAGAATGTTCATATACTATACAGTGCGTCCCAGAAAAAAAACGAAACCGAGAATTATCGATGTTTTATCATAACTTAATCACAATTATAATTAATAAATGACACAAAGTTGTAAAGCTTAGATCCTCCTTTTTCATTTGATGTAACCCATATGCTGCATATTTCACGCATGAGTGATTAAAAACAATCATTTGAAGAGAGGAAACCAAAAAGTCATTTGGCGGGCGGTATCTGAATTTCAAAGAGAAAATCACGTTTCTATAAAGTTCATTTTCTGTCCTTTCATATGACACCTCAATCAGGAAAAATGAGCCAGGAATAACAAATTTCTTTTTGTTTAAAGTAATGATTGCATTTCCATAATATGATTAAACGAGTTCAATTACTGGCTGCCTGCCGTAGCAACAAACAGAGTTGACAAAAGACTTAACTCCGTTTCGCTGACGATCAGCCATGCATCAAGTCTTAAGTCTTCTTAGTGCCGCCCGCCAAATGACTTTTTGGTTTCCTCTCTTCCAATTATTTTTAATCCCTCATGCTTGAAATATGCATCATATGAGTAGCACCAAATGGAAGAAGAGGTTCTAAGCTTTACAAATATGTGCCATTTATTAATTATTATTGTGATTAAGTTATGATAAAACATCGATAATTCTCGGTTTCGTTTTTTCTGGGACGCACTGTATATACGATTGAGTAGACCTAAGATTGAATAATTTTCATTAAAGGGGTAGTACAGTTTGGGTAAAACTGAATTTTAGTAGCCAAAACCTGCACCATAACCTATACAAACTAATATTTATAACTCCACCATGCTTGAAAGGTATAACACATTATTAACGACTAAGTCAAAAGCCTGTAATCATTCAAAACGAGATGTTGAAACGCAAGAGGGCGCTTTGTAAAGACGCATTGGTTTCAACCATTTTTTATTTTAAAAATGTGCATGAGATGTTCTGTTAAAATAAAGATTAAATAGGATGATTATCGACAGCTATTTAAATGCCACTTTTGAAAAATTGTTAAAAGTGTAAGCATTTTCTAATCATTTTTCAACGGCTGGTTAAAAATTATGTAATTATATTGGGCCCCATTATAATTAAAAATGGTTGTATTTCAGCCGTTTCTGAACCGGTTGTGATCAAACAAAGTTGATTATGTCATTGAAATTATCGTCAATTATTTCATAAATTACTTATTCCCATGGGCCCTAACATACCTACTAAGTTAACCTTTGTTAGAAACTACAATAATATCATATTGCGTACTTAGTGCTATATTAGACTTATAAAGGAACGAACTCAGTTGTTTTTTGATGGACCACGGTTCAGAGGACGCTCTTTAATATTTATTTATAAAAGAAGTAGAGGACAATTAAGTTCAAACTAGCGAAAAAGCACGAGTTGTCTTTCAAATTGCATATGACAATATATCTATTTAATGTACCACCACCCATAAATAATGTTTTTTTTATAAATGAGAGGTAACATTTTTTGTAGTCCATTCCACCAACAAGCTCAGAAAAATATGTTTCCCAAAAAATGATATGAGTGGAAAACGCATCACCATACTAAAGCATGTATGTCAGGGACGGATCCAGCCGGCGGCAGGGGAAGGGGCCAAGAGGGGGGCCCAATTCGTGAGAAAACATTTAACGGCAAAACAGCAAGCCGGTAAATAAACGGGGGGGGGGGAGCACTAATTTTGTTTTGCCCCCGAAAATTTGAAAATCGCGCCGGCCGATAATTCGTTCGATAATTCGTATCCCTATCTTTTACAGGACTCCACGCCAATGTATGCTCTACTCAATCGTTAATACTCCACTTTGAAAAAACCTTACGCGGGGCTGCAAGTAAAGAGTAGTCGTGATGCAGATCCTGCCCCCCCCCCCCACACACGTTTTTGCTCATTATGCCACTGTCCCTGAAAGGTGAGCCCCCAGGGGGTGTTTCATAAAGATGTTCGTAAAGTTACAAATGACTTTACAAACGACTTGAATATGAAGTGCCAGATAGGATGCCCAAAAATTTTCCTGATGTTTTCACAAAGTGTGACTATATTTCCAATAACCTCAATTAAATTATGGCAAAAAATATACTTTGTATTAAAAACATTTGTTATAATAAGAAGAATGTTAATC